TTTTGCTCTATCATGTTCCCACCATGATTTGCTGTGCAATTTCCTACTTGGTTCCGAAGTTGGTCTGTGTGATTAATAAAGCAAAAAGGATGGCATGATGCTTCTGAGATTAAGCAGTGATGGCAAACCTTTCAGTTTTCAATGGCAACAAACAGCAGGCTTTTTGTGATCACATATAACACCATAGGATTACCACCACTGGATTAGGGTATACGCCCTATAGTTTCCATCATGGTCTTCTTCCTCGCTGGGATCCATCAGGTGCTTTCAGGTAAACCATGTCCTGAGCAGCCTCATGATGCCACTGAGCAAGGAACCAATTCTGTCTACAGCTTTGTGTGTCCAGGAACTAATCCTTTAACCCCAGTCAAGTCTAAAGGAAACTCTTACAACCACTAGATAGCAAATAGCCAAGCTTTGTAGGCTGCATGTCTTTACTACTCTATTGTATTGAGAAGTAACGGCAGAGTCCCAGTGAAACTTCATGTTTGCCTTCCCTTGTCAAATTCCTTTTGTAAAATGTTCTTTTGTAAGCAACTAAATGACCTTTAAGTTTTTAATTCAGTAAATTTCAGTTACCCTTATGTGTCTGTCTTGATGTCTTCAATCAATTCAAAATGCTTCTTACATGGCTGACTTCGGGGAAGAGCCAGTCGCATGGTAACAGATATGCTAAGTGGAGACACTCTTTTCAGTCCTCCCTTTCCACTGATGGCACTAGGCAATATTCACTGCATTTTTTAATCACCTTTCCAAACTATTTCATGGCATCAGAAATAATGGTAAAAGTGAGGGGTGGTGTGTATTTCACTGTTAACTAATGGTATATTTTTATCGCATCTCATAGACCTAGTTATTGCTTCACATATTTGTACTACAGATAGTGTTTAGCAGAGAAGAAACAAAGTAACCACTTGTACAAAACAAAATCAAATGAGGCAGAAGCCTATTTCAAAGTCCCAGAACTAGTTTTATAAATTTGTAAACTGGAGTTAAGACCTATTTCATGATTCTATGTGAACTGGTATCTCCACCTAAGTACCTAAAGTACTAGCACCACCATCTTCAAGTTATATAAAAAGGCATGTAATTGTTTCCTGTTCTCCACCTCTGGAAATTGCATTCTGCTTGAAACACTTCTAGAGGACATTTGGGGGAGGGGTTAATACTCATTAATGGTGATGGGGTTAAGTCTAACTGGCTTTTTCTGCAGTATCAGAAATGGAACCCAGGGAGTTGCACATGCTAGGAAACTTCTGACAATAAGCTACATTCTCAACCCCTTGCTGAGATCTCCCAGTCAAAGCACATGAAAGTAGCTTTAGTACAGAGTTCAGATTTCAAGGTTTTGAGTGCCTAGAAGCCATCTGTTATTTCAGTCTAGGCTGGCCTCAAACACAACTTCCTGCCTCAGCCTCCTGAATGATGGGATTACAGGTGTGCATTACCACACCCCTGTGCTTGGCTAGAGCTCTAAAGGGTTTATAGGACTCGTGCTCATCCACATAACTTTATGCTACTTAGGAAAGACAGCAGCCTCTAAAACAAAAGGCAGGTGTAAGTAAATACTCAAAGAATTTACAAACTACAAAATATGTGAAGTTGCCAAAATAGTTTATTCAACATAAAAAACTATACTATAGCGAAATAAAACATAAATATCATACCCTTAGTAAAGGAATGAGACTGAGAATAAGACTGCAATATTTTTTATTCACCAATAAACTAAAAGCCCATTTCATGATGTTTCTTTCTCACACATATTTCATTTGTTTTTAAAAAGCAGAGCCCTGTAAGTGGAAATCACCTACTCCTCAGACTCTGATCCATCTTCATCCTGACTAATCTGGAAGTATCGGAGTTCATAAGTCTCTTTGTCAGATGCAACCACACGAAGCCAATCACGAAGATTATTCTTTTTAAGATACTTCTTGGTAAGATACTTCAAATACCTTTAAAATAAAAATTTCATTAAAAAATGTAGCACCTACTATGTAAAGGCTTATTATATGGAAGGTAGTCATATTCATCTTATACCAATCCCTTCAAAGTATTTTATCCTTTCTGTTTATACTCTGTATCTTCCATCACCTTAAAATACTCTACATTGAAAGCTAGTAAGCAGGATAGAAATGGTAGTTTGTTCATTGTTACTGTAAGTCAAATCACTCCAGCATAACATGATTTCACTCTTCATAATGTAGAGTAAAATGCTAACATTCTCTTCACCCCCAATCTCTTTAATTCCACCTCTGATCAACTTAACTGGGCTAAGTTCATTTACAGGTTCCGTGTTTTTGAAACAGCCTGTCAACTAGCATCTGCCTTAGTCTTTATCCAAGCATTCCTCTCAAGGAGTCCCACTCTTTGCTAACGCTACTTCCTTTTAAAATACCTCACTGCATTGACAAATTGTCTCAACTTTTTTGAAAACTCTTTGTGCCCTATTTCTACTCCTTGTATATAGCCATTACAGAACCACATCTTATTCCAATTATATTCATGTCCATAAATTCAAGACAACTACCATACTACTTTTCTGAATCCTGAAATTCATAACCTCCGTTAACATTTAATGCCATCACTATAGTCAAAACACCACCACTTTACCTCGAAGAACTCTTGAAGTTTTCAGTTTCCAATAAGTACACCATGCTAGCCGATAGCCAGCTTTTTCATTACATGTTTAAGATAAAACCCAAATCCCTTCTAGTGCACTCTTCCCACAACACAGCATCCTGTACACACAAGCATCCTTATTATTACTTTATAGTAACTGACCAGGCTTTTGGTTTATTCTTCCTTAGCAATTATTCCTTGACGTATGTACAAGACTCATTCCTACATTTCATTTGGATGATGTATTTCCTGACTTTTACACCCACCACAACAGATTTACTATCCCTCTACAGAAGTGCTCTGGTGATGGTTGATTGTATTGGCATGGTTCACTGCTGGGTTGCCCAGTCCTAAAATGGAGCAGCTAAGTATTTGATATGGCAAATACACTGAACCAACAAAATCTTAAATAAAATTAAGAAAATGTTTCTATCTGCAAAGCAGGACCTTTGTCCCAAATGGATGTATCACAATATATTCAAATATTAAAGCACCACAAAATTACATACAATTTGGATTAAAGAGGCCTACAATTCACTCAACAAAGAACCTTGGATGAGTTGCCATGATCTTGCAATTACTGAACTATACTAAGCAATTGGCACTCAAGATACTAATTTATTTTCCATTCATAAGGCTTTAAAAATAAGCTCAAGACATTTTTGATATATTCTATTTTCACTTATTTGTTCTTCCTGATTAATAACACTATGATTACACAATCTATGTAATATTCCACAATTATAACAATTGCATTAGTATTTGTAAAATAAGAACCAACCTTTTAGAGAACTGTTTCTCTGAAACAACTGTGATTTTATTCTTGAAGCGTTCAATGTGAACAACATTTCCAAGATTTCCGGTTTTCCCATTGACTTTAACCTTCTCCCTCAGAAACTGCTCCTATTTTAAAACAGAAAAAATGCAAAACTAGGGAAGAAAACCCTAGATATTCACTAGGGAAGGTACCCTAGGAAGAGCGCTCAGGTTAACACCAAATATTATATGCTTAATACAATTACAAAAACAAGCCAAGTAGAAGAATACTTACAAAATTTCCAGAATCAAAAATTCCATCTTCTACTGGGTGAGTAAGGTCCAAATTAAACTTCCAGGTTGACCTCTTAGGCTTCTTGTCTTTCTGAAACACAAGGTTAATATAATTACAACTTTGTAAAATGATTTATTCATTATTTCATAAACATAAACAATTTTTTGTGAACTGATGGAAATTTTTATTTTCCACCATAGAAGTCTCACAAAATCTGTCAAGATTTAATAGGCTTTTATTTCCCAAACCACTCATCATCAGTTTCAAATTACTTATTACTTCCTGTTTACTATGGCCATCTGGTTTCCTGTTATCCCAAACTAGATGGGTTACAGGGAATGCAGTGTCTGCGCACTAGTGTTACAACATTCAATCTCCACACTATTTTAAGGGAAAGGGAGGTATGTGTGGCAGAAGCTTTCGTCTGTTTAAAACTAAAAACACAACGTACACAAAGGCCACATATAAAGATAAACGTGGCCAGTAACATACATTCGAAGTAACAGATACAGACGAATCAACAGACTGTCATCTCCAAATCAGATCAAGCATTAGTTAACAGATAACCCTAGTGCCACGTTGTATACAAATCGGATTCCTATCTATCCCAGCAATTTAAATTTTGTCCTTAAAATTTCTGGTAACTATCAACATACTCCTTTTCACATTGTTTTCTTGTTAATGTAATACTTGAAAGGCTTTTTTTCATGTCATGCAAGACACCATGATTTTACTTTTTAAAACAGTACTTCAGAACAAACTTCTTCCCCAGTAGACTCCTGAGGTTCTGGAAAACTTTAGTAGCTGCGCTCACTGCACGCCTCGGAGCGCCCTCCTCCCACCCAATCAGCCCGGTTGCCCTCCCCTCCCTGGTGCAACAAGTGGCGTCCAGATTAACTTAGCCAGGAAGAAAAGTCTGTCCAGGTGCCGTCCAAGCCCCCGCCACAGTGGTGCTTGCCTGGGGGACACGGCCACCCATTCTAAACCAACTCCCCGCCCGGCTCTAGTTCCACCAGGCCGCATGGCAACCACAGCGAGTCTCGAAAACCAGCTCAACATCCTAAAATCTTAGTGGTGTTCCTGACGCAATCCCTATTTCCCCCCTCCTTTTATCTTGAATGAAACGTTCCCACGCTCCAGAGGCAAAAATCATTTCCCAAACTAAGACCAACAGGACTCACCGGAGCCATATTAGCGGCAGCTGGACGATCAGAGAGAAAGCCGCGCCTGCGCAACATGAATTTATAGTGAAACGTGCCTACGTCACGCGCCGAGAGCGTAAGAGCACCGCCTCCCGGAGCATAAAGTACGGAGCGACGCGAAGGTCAGTCACCTAGGAAACCCGCGGTGTGGCCAGGGAAGGAGGTTCGGTTGGCGTCGGGCTTCCTGCGAGCTCCCTCCAGCGGCCGTGATTGAAATAATTGTTTTCTGCTGCTGGAAACAAGGTGATCATCTCTCCTTATGCGGTGGCTTCTCACAGATATAGACACACAATGAACACAGGAGCCATCTTTTCCTAACCATTAGATCTTCCAGTCAGAAAAAGCCAGTGTCTCAGGTTGTTTTCGGATCTTCTTTTCTAGTTATTTCTGTATTTTGTCCATGAGCATTTTCTGCTGCGGAAAAATCAGTCTTTGTGAAGTGAAAATAAACTAGGTTCTGAAGATCAGTGCGTATCAAAGAAGAAAACACGTGGTGCTTAATTCTTGTTTACAGATTGGGTATAATTTATTTTATCATGGCTTTTAGAGCTAACTACTGACTTCCATCCAAAATGCTTCCCCGTTAACATTCAATGAATATTTGCTGTGACCTATCAATACACACGGGGATGGAGAAAAACAGCTTTTGAGTTCTAAAGATTATACTGTATATTGATGTCAGATCAGAAAAAGTGGTATGCCTGTCAGCATATAGCAGTAATAAGATTTTGTGGAGATGCAACTATGGGACCTGAGGCAGGGGTAAGGAGGGGATAGGCTTTTGTTGTTAATTTGAAAAATGACCCTAGAATACGATAATTGGGTGTCTCCTTTATACTAGCAAGTAGTTATATTGGAAACTGTGCTTTAATAAACCACATGACCTGTAGAGTCTGAGTACACAAGTGCTTGATTCCTAGTAGGAATCAATTTCTGTGAGGGTTTTTAGCTATCTGCCCCAAGAGCTATAAATTCTTTTCCAAACATTGCGGTGCAGGGAGGGGATTGCCATTTCCTACTTAAGGGCTGCCCAGATTGCAGAGCAGAAATAATCCTTGTGTTACTGGGTATTTTGAAAATAAGCTATTAATAGACATATTTACTATTTGAGAAGAAACTGATTAAAAGTATTAAGCCATTTGTATAAAGGACACAAAAACAATATATTTCAAAATAAGTAGTAATAAAAAGTAGTGAATTGAAGCTATAATGGGGGAAATTTTCTCTCAACTGAAAAAGAAAAAAAAATATTAACCAGATATAAATATCTCAATTTTTTCCAGTCTCTGGAATTCTTTCCACACAATATATATTAACAAATTACCAGTTAATATCTCAGTTTTTTCAGTTTTTTTTGACAGCTGATTTGTTTATTTGTTTGTTTCTTTCTTTTTTTGAGACAAGTTCTCACTGTGTAGTCTAGTCTACACAGGTTAGGCTGGTCTTGAACTCACTATGTGGCCAACACTGGCCTCCAACTCATGGCAATCCTCTTGCCTCAGCCTTCCAAGTGCTGGGATTACAGGTCTGCACCACCATGCCTAGCAGTACTGACAGCTGATTCTAAAATAAATGCAAATGTCTCAAAAGAGACAAGAAAATTTAGAACAATGAGGAGAAATGTGCCTTTCCAGCGATTTGAATATAACATACTAAATGACAGGTATATTTCTAATATAATACAAACTTTATTAGATCTACATGATACTGGAGCCTGAATAAGATAGATCAGTTAAACAAATACAGAACTACAACATGGTAGGTTAGATTTATAGAAAAACTTGATATATAGCCACATTAAAAAATATCTAAGATGGAGTTTTATAAATACCTTTGAATATATGGGTGAGCTAGTGGAAAATTAAAAGAATGTTTTAGAAACTAAAATAACACACCACATTTATATTTGTTTGGAGTTTGAATTAGTTGTGGCCAAGTAGTGTGAAAAGGTCCAAACTAAAATGGTAGCTAATGTGTGCTTACATTGTTAGTGCCAAGTGGAAGCAAATGCAAATGTTGCCTGAAGAATTACACTTTAAATTCAGACACAAAAAATTCCCTGAGACAAACTTCCAGAAATAGGACCAATTTTTAAAAATCATAAGAAACAAGTTGCAATGAATAAAAATCAGCTCCCCAAAATCTATAAAATCAGATCCACAGAGATTACATATATTGAAAGTATAAGTTATGGTATATAAAAAAAATTTTTAACATGTGTCAGAGTCAAAGTTTATAAAATGTGATAAGGGAGCCACAGACAATAAAAGTTTCTAGCATTTTAAAAATAGAGTCAAAAAGAATTTGTTATGGCTTGTATTAGATGTCTCCTGAAAGCCTCATGTGCTCATAGGTGGTGCTTTTCAGAGGAGGCTAGTTCTAGGGTGTGTGATCCTATGATTGTGTGATGCTAGGATTAAGTGGTGTGCTGCTGGCATTAAGGGTACATGATTACTAAATTCGTCTACTCCTTGGTTCAGCATAGTTCTGGATGGATAATGGGCAGGACTATGGTAACCAAAAGTTGAGTAACCAGGAAGGGATAAAAAGGAGAGGCTTTTGCCTTCCTGCTTGCTGCTGCTTCTGTTGTCTGCTAGTTTGCTGTCTCCTGCCTGCCTGCCATGAACTGTTTCTCCTCTGTGGTGCCTCTCTGCTATGCCACCCTGCCTTGAAGCCAGCCAACTATGAACAGGAACCTGTACTATCTGTTACCTACAAAACCTTTTCTTCTTTAACTTTGGGTGTTGGCTATTTTGTCTCAGTAATAAGAAAAACAACTAAGACGGAACTTCTATTAATTAAAAATAGGAAAAGTGAAATTAGAAAAAAGTGGATGTTAAACAGTAAAGTAGACATAGCTGAAGAGAAAATTAGCAAACTGGAAGTTACTTAGAAAGCAATATGGAAAATTGAAGAAAAAAAAGCTAGATGTGGTGATACAGACCTTTAGTCCCAGCTACTTGTAACTGAGGGAAGAGGAAAACTGGAGTCCAACAGTTTGACAATAGCCTGAGCATAGGGGTGAGACTATCTCAGAAAAATAAAATAATATTATAGAAATGAAACTGTGCACAGAGACACACACCTGTAGCACTTGGGAGGTTGAGGCAGGTAGATCCAAAGTTCAAGGTCAGCCTGGGGTACATATCAAGACCCTCCAAAAAGAGGGGGTGCTGGGGATGCTTAGTAGTAAAGCACTTTTTCTAGCATGTGCAAGGCCCTTACTTCAATCCCTAGTAATGTATGTGTGCATTTGCACACACACACACACACACACACACATACACACACACGGAGAAAAAGGAAAGAAAAGGGATATAACAGAGATAGTGGAAAAAAGACAATATGTACAAGATAATGGCTGAACTCTCAGACTCAGGAAGCCTAATATTAAAACCCAAGCAGGATAATTTAAAGGAAATGCACATTTAGACACATTTCAGTGAAACTTAAAATTGCAAAAACATTATTTCAAAAGAATTCAGAGAATGAAAATAAAAAATATCCACTAAAGGAATTATACATACTTCATATGACAGTAATGAAAGTTAGCAACAAGGGAATATTCACTATCTAAAGCTACAAAATATAAAACTATCTTTCAAAAGTAAAGATACATTTAAGACACTTTAGACCATAAAGCTGGAAGTTGGCTACAGATACATCTTTAACAAAGGAATTATGACTTACTTCAAGAGGAAGAAAAAAATCCTAGAAAGAAAGGCCACATGCCAAAAGAAATGGTGAACAAAGAAAATTACTAACTCGTGAGTAAACCTAAATGTTACCAATTGTATACAACAGTAATCATGTTTGATTTATACACTTAAGGTGCTATTTAATGTTCTACTTCTTAATCTTTGTTTTGTTTGTTCATTTGTTTTGTTACTGGGGATTGAACTTGGAACCTTACGCTTGCGAAGCAGGCGTGGAACCATTGAACTAAATCCCCAGCCCTCTACTTCTTAATAGTGATAATGTTTACATTATAAAGTATGCCTAGTATGTGAAAACTTAGTTATAAATTCTGACCTGCTTATTTTTCTATATTTGTTACATTTCAATTCAAATCATAGAAAGATGGTATAGCTTACTATAAGGAAAAATATGGCAAAGCAGATGAAATAAAAAAGTTATTAGAAAATACAATTTATCAAAATTTATATAAGAAGACACAGGATATCTGAATAGTCTTATATTTTTTAAATGAATTAAATTTGTAATTAAAATAATTCACAAGGAAAACAGATGGCTTCATCAATGAATTCTACCAAACATTTGAGCAACAGTGCTAATTTTATCAGCCTTATGTCCAGGCTCACTTCTGTCATTTACCTTTATCCCAGAAGAGGGAGCATTTGTCCACAATTTCCTGTCCTCCACGGATAAATACCATCCTTAAGATGTTAGCTCCCTTCCACTTCCAGCTCATAAATATGTGAGTGAGTGTTAGTAGGCAGGTTCCCATGAGTGCCCCATGTCTCACGTCAGAGAAGTGCTGGTGTAAAAGTGAAAAATGTACGGGGAGGTGCTGACAAGTCACATCCACACAGAACTGACTGCTGATCCCTTCTTTGATTTGATTCTACATGGCCATGTGGAAGATGCCAGATGGTTAAGCCTCAGTTATCCCTAACATTCTTCTATTTGACTTTGCTCTTCCCAGTTCTATTCAGTTCCTTATTTCTGTTATTTGGGGGTCATCTCCTAAATAAACCAACTACATTCAATCAATACGCTATGACACCAATTTTACACAAACTCAGATGACTGAAACATTACTAATAATTAGTAATAATAACTACTAATTACTACTAATATTTTATTAGGCAAGTATAATAATCTTGATCCAGAAACCTGATGAGGACATTCTGAGAAAGAAAAATTATAGTAGATTTATAAATATATGTAACCATAGTAACAGATAAATTATTAACAGCAATGTTTCATAAAGTAAGTTGGGTAATGTCATTCATTGTAGTTGATATAGTTGTATATGTTCAAAGTTTAAAGACTCCATGGGTGAATGCTCAGAACAAGTATGTGAGTTCATCAGGATTGCTGGAGGGGCCCCGGATTTAGCTCAGTAGTTCCGCCACCTGCTTCTCAAGGGCAAGGCAAGTTCTATCCCTGGTACCGCCCCCCCAAAAAAAGATTGCTGGGTACCAAGTTCATATACTGAAACCAACTGCATATCTGTAAACCAACAATAAATTAGATAATAGAATTTAAAGAAGATATTTTCAATAGTATAAAAGATACCCAAAGAAAAATAACAAACACTGAAAGTATTACCTGCTTAACAGAATCCTATATGTAGTATTTTTTCCAATCATCTTGATGCATGTTGGTATTTATCAGTAATAGCACTTTATAAACACATATATACACATAAATTATATATACATATACACACGTGTAGTAGCATATGCATACTATACACATTGCATTAACATACATATACTCTAATTTCTCCCTATTATATTTTATAGTTTGATAGGAAAACTTATACATATTTGTTATTAGAGAAAAACAAATAAATAGAAGGACAATCAATACTCATGGATTGGAATACTCAATATAGTAAAGATGTCAATTCTCCAAGACTGATTTTTAGATTTAGCGCCATCTCAAACAATAGCTTTTAAGTGTCTCTTCACACACTTCCCTGGCTCTTCTCCATCTCTTGACAAGCCAATTCAAAAAGTCATATAGAAACACAAAGGTACTAGAATAGTAAGAATATATGTGAAGAAGGAAAGATAAAGTGTAAACACTTTCTGTGTAAGATCCAAGGCTTATTTTAGATATTATAATTAAAATGGCAGAATATTACCTCAAGGTCAGACATAAATGGAGTAGAGTTAAAGGTCCCCTAAAATATATATAAAGATGTATGTGTATTTGTCATTTATGGTGAAATGACACTTCAGAACAGTGGGGAAAAGACAATTCTCACAACTCGAATTATTTTTTGAAGTGAAATACATTGTATTGTAAATCAATGTACACCTTCAAAAACAAACTTTGTGATCACCATAAAACTTTTAAATCCACATTAATATTTTGTAGTGGAAAACAGATTATAAATAATCTAATAAATATCTATGTATCAATAGATATTTTGAGGCATGAAGAAAATGCTGTAACATTTAGGCAAACAAGACTCAATAGAGCTGTTAGCCATGTCTCACCTGCATCTCACACATTACTTTTCCTGCAGCGCTGTCTGTCCTGCCCATGCGCTTCACACGAGGTTTCTTGCTGGAGCTGACAGTGCAACTTACTGGGTAGCACTGCCTTTTGGGGGGCCTCAGTGATACAACAGATTGCCCTGGATACAGAAAATCTGCCCTCTGAAATCTACTTAGTATTCAACCTCTCTTATTTGCTAGAAGCTAACTAGTAAAAGGACAAAAGGAATCTGTAAATTTTTCTTTTCATCAGTGCTTATCACCAATTAAGCACTGTAAAAACAGTCGTGTATACGTAGTAACAGTGTCGTTCCATTTCTTTCTGTGCCATATCTCTCAAAGTGCAGCACGTTGAACTGGACAAGGTGTCCCAGTACCCATCTCTGGAGAAATGTACTTGAATGGCATCGCAGTGGCAGCAACTTCATGAGAGCTTTGGAAAAGGACGGGCTGAAGTCCTTCAGTGAAATCAACAGTGAGATATGGAGCTCAAAATTATTACTACTTAAGAGTATTTATTTTGGAGTCTCAACCTTATACATGTATAGTTCCTTGTTGGATACTCAGTAATGAGAGCTAAGGGGACCTGGCAGGAGAAATATGCTCTTGGATGACTGCCCTTTACTAAATTGATAGAATATTAAAGTCTATGATTAAAAAGTTTATACTTCGGTGCATCTTGTCTTCTCCATTAGTATTTAGAAAGTTATACTTTTTATTGCTAAAAAATTGCAATTTCAGCTAAATAAGATATTCTTGTATAAAGTCCTGCAGGAATTCTGAATGCATATTGACCAACATTTAAGATGAGAACAAGTATCTTTTTCATTGCTTAATCAAAATAAGAAGTATATTTTAAGGGCCAGGGATTTAGCTTAGTGGCTCCACTGCCTGCCTTGTAAGCACAAGGACCTGAGTTCAATCCCTGGTACCAAAAAAAAAAAAGTATATATAAAAATAAGAAACATATTTTCATTGCTTAATTTTAATTTTATTGTTATTTTCAGCTCATTTATCCCTTCATCTATTGTTGGACATTTAAGTTTTTTTTCTTTCTTTTTTTTTTTTTTTTTTTTTTTTTTTTTTTTTGATTTTTTGAGATAGGGTCGTGCTGGGATTACAGGCTTGTGCCACCACACCCAGCCTGGTTTTTCCATTTTTAAATTATTTTAAATAATGCTTTGCATACTTTTCAATAAAGTTACTATATTCTCAAGTAAAAAGAAATGCTCATGAAAGGAAATACAAAGAGGCAAAAAGATAATGCATAAAGCATCTAAAATGCCACTTGCTCAGAAAAAAACTAGTGCTTTGTTAGCATGCAAATCTGAAAGAGAAATGTGGAACGAGTATCTGTCATCTGTATCTCTTTTAGATACTATAAATTGGGCGGTACTATTGTTTACATTTTTATTTAGACATGACTTTTTTGTATATTTCTTATTAGTACATGTTTGCAGTACAAAATGATTATATTTTTCATGGGAAGTTGGTACAGGTACATAATACCTCTTAATTTTTGTCTCCTACCCTTCTGCTCCATTTCTTGTTCTCCTTCCTAAGTGCAAAAGCTATTTCCCCTTTTTCTTTCAATTCTTTTTTTCCCATCCCCAAGACATAATTTAAATCTTAGCAAGGTAAAAATGGTTCAATGCACCCCATCCATTCTCTCTCTCTCTGTCACCCACACACACACCCCTTTTGTTGACTCTGGGTTTCCAGTCCTAGAGGAAATGAAGCCAGGAACATACCCACATTTTGTTCTAGGACTTGTTTAGTCTGTTTCCATTTAGAACTCTACTTTATCTGGAGTTTATTGTTATGTATATTGCATGAAGTTCATCTTTTAAAATTTTCAGAATTTTCTCAATTTCCCAGCACAATCTATTTAAGTCCATCTTTCCTCCGTAATTTGTATTACCATCTTTAGCATCCACTAAATTTCTATGTGCCTTTGGCCTCTTCAGAGCCTTCTGTTCTGTTCCATTTAGTCACACCTTTGCCAGTACCTCACAGTTGGGATCATAAAAGATGTGTAGTATGCATTAATTTCTGGTAGTCCTAATCCTCCCTCATAGTTCTTTCTTTCCAATTTTTTCTACTTTTGCATGTATATGTGTTGAATTTTATTAGCAACTTGTTTACTCCACTAAAAACCTGTGTTTTTATTAAAATTCCATTACATTTATCAATCAAATTCGGCAGAACTATCATCTTATTAATGTTGGCATATCAACCAAGAAATACTAATGTCTTCCCATTTGTTCAAGTTGACTCTTTCAGGAGGATTTTATAGCTTTCTTCAACTAGATTTTGAAATTTAAGTTTATTCACTGGATCTTTCTGTTCCTATTGTAGGTCAAGGTTTCCTCATATTATGTCTCTGATTAATATTTTTTGTTATAAAGCTAATTTTTGGATATTAATTTTATATTATGCTGCTATGCCAAACTTTTTAATTGCTAGAATTAGCCTTAATTATGTAGATTTTCTAGGTATACTATGAGATCATATGAAAACAGAAAATAATTTTTGGTTTCACTTTTATACTTTTAAGGTTTCTAATTGTTTTCTATTTTCCAATTGCATTGGTTAATACTTTCAAAACATAATAGTGATCAAGATTTTCTTGCCTAGTTCTTGACCTGAGAATGCCTTTAGTATTTTTCTATTAAAAGGCTAGTGTTTTGAGTTTTATACACATAAGCCCAGGTGTAAACACATATATACACATAAATTATATATACATATACACACATGTAGTAGGATATGCATACTATACACATTGCATTAACATACATATACATATTATATATAATATATATATATGTATATATTATATATGTTAAGTACTCATCCATCTGGTTTCTTAAGAGATTAGAATGGATACTGAAATTAAGTACTGGTGTGTTGTGAAGCATCCACAAATGGGACTAAAAAAATATTTAATGGTTTCAGAAATAACTTTCAAATTGGATAGTGGATTATTAAGACCTTGTAGGTGGGCCCTTTTGAGATGATTCATACTCATTCTGATACTGATGAATGTCTTGTGGAAATAGATGTTTTAAGACTGGAATAGAACACACAACTTAGACAGGTGACAGTTCTAAATGCAGTGATTTCACAGGACCTTTTTCTTTGGTACAGGGATCACACTCAGGACCTTGCACTTGTGAGGCAGGCAGCAGAACCACTCAGCTAAATTCTGGGCCTACAGGAGACCTTTCTGGATAGAATTTGATTTTTTATTTTTATTTTTTGGTACTGGGGATGAAACTCAGGACCTTGTGCTTGCAAGGCAGGCAGCAGCACCTCTGAGCTAAATCTCCAGCTTTGGATAGAATTTTTAATCATGGGGAGGGGGCAGGGAGAGACCCCCAAAAGGTATGAGACACAAAACACGTAATTAGCCCTTTTCACTCATTTTGTTTTTACCATGTAAAATTCTGGGAAACTGGGCTTCTGGTATTTGTAGGTAGCAAAAAATAAAAGTGAGATGGGAGCTGCCAGACTAATCTAGCATTTCCTTTATGAATCAACTCTTTTTATTTTGGAAGATTAAGGGTATTAGTAGTAATAATGATCAGAGATATGGGTGACAACTACCATGGTGACTTTGGCATGTCTCACAGGCCAGAAGAGAGGTGTTCCAAAACAGTATAGTGTGTAAAAGGAAGAAACTGCTAAGCCACTTAGGAATGAACTTGTCCAGGTAGTGGATTAGATATGAAGATTGGAAAAGGGTGAAGGATTTTTGTCTTGGGGACCCATCACACCACTTACATTACCATAAAAAGAGATCAGCAATCATAGCTGGTAGGGAAGGAACACCTCAGACCTTAGGAGATTAGAGATGAGAGGAAGGGCCTTAATTTCTTGGCACTAAATGTTTCTGAAAGGGTCCACAGGCAGCAAATGAAGATGGGAAATTATTTTCTCTTTTGTACCTGTTGAATTGTGAACCAGATGACTTTTTGTATATTTTTACAAACTATGAAAAAAAATATACTTAAACCTGGAACTAAAATTTAGAAATTAACATTCTTAGCCATAAAGCTAGTACCCTCTGAGGACCCAGAATATAAAAAGACACTGAATAAAAGTGAAAGTTAGATTTCCTTTCAAAAGCGATATACACATGAAATTAATATGTTTCTAGTATAAAAAATCTAAGAACGTACATAAACAGGAATAGTGCAAGCTGTTAAATTAATTTTATTTTTATTTAATGTAACTGATGAAGTTAACAGACAAGTATATTTTAATGTAACAAAATGTTATAATTGCTAAGTTTTACCATCTACATTTTAAAGGATATTTTAGTATAGCCAAAGATGTAACATTTTAATTTTACCAATTTTTGAAATGTAAAATGCATTTATAGTAGCCATATATCTTATAATTTAAAAATTTTAGCTAAAACATTAGAATCTCTACAAGTAAAAGCAAGAGTTCTCTTATATCTAAGACAAATAAAATATACTACTGATAAAGTGCCAATGGATTAGACAATCCTATTTCAACTACTTTTTTTGGGAGGAGGATAAAAGCATTTAACAGTATAGAACTAGGCATTTTATCATACCAGTACAGAGCTAGTGATTTGCGTTTCACTTTATAATAAGCAAAAGAGTGCTTATTTATAGTAGATATAACCATAATAAAGAGTTTCTCTCAAGAAAGATCACAACTATGACTTATTTGTTCAGTCACTGCTGAATACCTATGTGTCCAGAGTTTTTAAAAGTATAATCTTAAACTGAGATAAACCTAATTCTACCAGTATCAAGATAGGATTTGAAGAAGGACCTCATATAAATAAAAGAATCTTGTTATTGTTAAATAGGTTTCTACTTGTTTTAAGGAAAGAATAGGGCTGAATGAATGGCAAAGTTTGGCAACAAGGGTATTTCTGGTGGATGAAAGCTTGGTATGCACTGCTAAAAGATGCATTTTTCACATACAGAAAACGTGTTTAGTGGACGTATACAGCACTTTTCAGGCACTTGACCTCACCTGGTAATTAAATTGGTGTTCAGACGTTTATTTAATGGAAAAACACTGAGTTACATTGTGACTTCAAGCCGTGTTCCCACAGAACATCTGTGTTCCATAAGCTAAATCCAAATGTTCCTGCTATAATCAAATAATGATGTCATATACTCAATTTAGAGAAAAAGTTTAATATATTAAACAATAGACTGAATTTTCTCAATTTTAACATTTCCACCATGAATTTCTCTTAAATCTTAGTTGCCTATTTTCTGAATTCTAGCAGAAAAAAAGCTTGGAACCTATGAAATATTGTGTTTTAAATGGTACAGGAAAATTAAAAACTTTATCAGTATAATATACTATTTAAGGAAATATGCTTATATTTTTGCTCTTATACTAAGAGCCATATTTCCTCATACTAAATGTGTTCCTAGCTCATATATAATAGAATTCAGTATGTAAACAGTTAAAGGTTTAGACCAAAAAGACCAAAAGACCATTATCAATGTTCAGTCTTTGTTCCCAAATATGGTTGAGAACCTACAATATCTATCTCTGAAACTATCTTTGGGGTCCATGCCAAAGGAATGCTGTCAATATATCACTAAGGATAGGGTTCTGAGGTAAGAACTATCTACCCTAAAATTCTATCCTAAAATGAAAAATATGGCAAAATTCCAGTATAGTTGCTACGAAGGTTTCCATTTTTTCTTAAATAATCAGTAAGTAGTTTAAATATGTTGACATTAAGAATTTTATATGTAGGCTTTATAGTATTATCATTTGGGAAAAGTTTGCAAGATGCTTTCAGACAGTTAGCTGTAAAATGAAACTTCAACTCTTAGCATGAACAGCCCTGAGAATAATGCACTCAAATTATAGCTCAACTAGAAATAATCTAATTGAGAGAAACATTAAGCTACAAATCCTGGAAAGGTTGTAAATTAAAAAAAAATTACCAACATTTGAGGCACTACCAGACTACAGTACTTTTAGTAGTTGGAAGGACTTTGAAAAAAGAATAAATATACAAAGCTATGTGTGCTCATATACACACTCACATTGTGCTGTAATGAAAAACTGTGTCCCCAAACTTTACAGCCTAAACACTTTACTGCAGCATCTCCTGTTAAAGATATCATGGTCTGGCTGCAGAAAATTTGGTAATTTATATAAAGCATCAGCACAGAAATTTGTACCACTAAAGGAAAAAGAGACAAGAGCTCAGTTAACAATAATTTGTTCAAGTGACTGAGAGCCTTGGAGGGGAGCACGGAAGAAATATCATAATTAGGTTCACGATGTAAATATTAAGTCAAAGCAGCAATGATCCAATTTACATCAGAGGATATAAAATGTAGCAGATAAAGCATAACAGTCTTCACAGTAGAAATAAAACATGTTCTAGAAACAAACAAATATTCAACCTGCTAATACTGTCTAAAAATTGGCAAAATGTATACAGAGAAGAATGGTGTATTACTGCATAACCTATCATCATGACAGTTTAATTTTATATAATTGGCGATATTTAACATTTACTACAAAAAGTACAACAGTGCTAGAAATAAACTTTTAACATTTCTCTGATGTCAAAAAGAATAATGTCACTTCTGTGTCAAAAAATATATGTTCCCTGCTTCCTTGTAATACAATTTATAAAGCTTTACTAAATGAAATATCTTGTTCTAGAGAAACATCTATTGACTTATGTGAAAATAAACAATCCTGTATCTTTAAAATCTATATATATATGTTAGAATATTTACACTTCATATAGTATTTCAAATGAAATATTTATGCATAAATACCTTTTGCCACTCAAGGTATGGAAATAAGAGATGCATTGTTATAATTTGTACACCGTTCTATCACTATTGAAAATATGCAAAGTTTAACAAGTTGGGAAGAACAAGGGCATGCTAATCTAGAATTAATATTAAATCAGAACGCTAATATGGTTATAACTAGGGCCAGATGAGTGACTAGCAAGCAGCATAGCTCAATAATTTTATGGACTTCCTCTGGGGAACTATCAACTGGTAGCAAGTACCAGAGATGAGAGTACTAAAAATCTAGAACAGTGTGTAGTAGATACTTAAACAGAATGCTGAAAAGAATTTAGTCATTTCTTAATTGTGCTTTGGATGGGCAAAAGCTAAAATGTTACACTAAAATCAATCTCAGCATTTCTTGTGCTTCAGAATTCTCTTCCTCATACTTCTCTTAAAATACCTTGCATCTTCTCTAAATGGGTTTGGTGAGGCTAAGACTTAAAATTGTGTACAAATTAAGCAACTAAAACTTGGAATATTGCAGCCTAAGTGCTATTTCTAGTTATTGATTAGAAAAGTATTAGATATACTTTCTTCTAGATGATAAGAACAGGTGTCCCTGTGGCCAAAGCATTGTGGGAGAGAGCTCATAACCAGTTTCACAGAATCAAGGCAGAATGAGATATAGTGATTTTGTTCCAGGTTGCACTCCAAATAATGATTGCTACTGAGTCAAAGGTCTTTGCAAATCTTGTAACAATATCTAAAATTCTGAAAATAATACACATATAGTCTAAAAGACTAAAGAGAAAAGCAATGGTATCACCTAAAACACGTTTTAAATAATTCAGTTTATAGAATTCCTTTGTAGTTATAGTTCACATCAGTAACTAAATAAATCACAAGACAATCAAAAAATTACATATACTTAATTTTCAAGTAAAGTATTTCTCCCATAATTCACTCATTTCACTTTAGACAAAAATGTGCACAAATTTAACTAAGTTAAGAATTCCAAATCAACTTAAGAATTCCCAGCTTTAGTCTAACAAATATTTAATGTAAAAAATTCTACTTATCATGGTTGGAAAAGTGCTATTACTGATTAATACCAACATGCATCAAGATGATTGGAAAAAATACTACATATAGGGTTCTGTTAAGCAGGTAATACTTTCAGTGTTGGGAGATTAAGGCTGGGAGACAAAAGTTAAAAGCCAAAATACAACTAAAGAGCCACTTTCTATTTTTTACGCTGGTTATAAAGATGTCAATAAAAAACAGAGTTCTAGTATCTTTTCTTTGCCACAGTTCTTCATTCTTTACAATGTGACTTGCTTAAATTCATCAATAGTTCAGTGTCCCTCTGTCAACCACAAGCAGATACTAAAACCACCACTGAAGGTTATACTAAGCTGGACATTTAGCAAAGAACAGTATTACTGAGTATATGTGGTGGCACATGGCCACCAAAGTAAATGACACTGTGACATGGTTTTTGATTAAGGATATGTGTTTGCTACACACAGGCTGAAACCAACAATTCTAATCTATAATCTACATATTCTGTGACATTAAATCTAAAATTAATGCAGAGTGATTCAACTTAAATGTGGTATTCCAGTACCACTAGATGCTACATTGCCTGATTTAAAACACTGGTTTATTAATTAATTGATTAAAATTCAGGAATGATCTGCTCAGACAAATCACATCTGCTGGGGCTGTCTTGTCTGTTTCTTGGACTTACACACTGAAAACCACAGGAATGTTATAGGAAAGACATCTATAAAATTGAAAAAAAAATTGTACAGCTTGATTTTTAAAAAAGTTACCAACTGCCTGCAAAACCAACTCAGTACTTATTTAAAAAGGGGGGGGGGATAAAGAGAGAAAGATAAAGAGAAGAGAGATAAAGAATGAGGTTGCTTATGGAGGCCATAGCTTTGGTGACAATTAGAACCAAACTTTGTAATCTGCAGTTGATCCAGACCTAACCAGTTTGGTTGTCTCATGTTCTCATTTATTTGCAGGGCTTTATGGCTACAGCATACTCTTCACTCATGGCACACATGACAGACACCTAGAAGAAAACATGCAGGCAAAAAAGTTACTCAGAAGGTAATCGCATAGCAAGTATATTTATTTCACCATGTATTATTATATATTTGTGGATATTTTATATGGATTGACTTTGAAAAGGAGTAATCTAAAGCAAATAATCTATTTTATAGTTTTCTGAAACAGAATTTCTCAAACTGTGGTTTTACAAGACAACTTCCAAGAAACAGGGAAAATAACTTATATTTCTTATACTTCTGAAAGTTGCAACAAAGAGGATACCTCCTTCACTCTCTAACAATCCTTACATCCTTTCTTATCCTTAAGAATAGATTATATGAAAATTTTCAAAGCAAACATGGAGTTGACAATGTCCGTGTAGCAAAAAATGAACTTCAATACTTTCTTTAGTAATTTTTTTAATCTACAGCTTTTATTGGTACAATTTAGGTGTACATTATGATCTCATTCATCATAGGAAATTTGTACCTGAACATGATACATCTTGGTTCTTATTTTTTTTCCCCATCCTTCTTCCCTTTCTACCCCACCCTATTTATAAAAGCTTTATTTCCATTATTTCCTTTTCTCATTTTTCCTTCCCTTCTTTCCTTTCCTCTGCCCCTACTCCCTAGTTCCCCTTCCCCTTTGAATAGCTTCTTTCTATTTCACAATATCTATTATACATTTTAGTCCTCATTTATACTTTGTTTCTCATGGTACTTGTTTTCAACATTTCAGCAGTAATTTTAAGAGACATTTCATATGTAGTATTTTATACTAACTAGTTTAGTCCAAAGATTTTATAAAATGGTTTAAAAAAGCCTTTTCACAAATCTTTACCTGTACATCTTCACCTGCATTGTATTTTCCTTCTATTTCTTTGCCTAGTTCACCTTCTGGCAGTTTAAGATCCTCACGGACTTCACCAGTTTCTGTCAGCAGGGAAAGGTAACCATCCTGAATGCATATCAGCTATTAGAAGAAATTATATTATTTGCACTGATTAGATTTCACCCATTCTCTTGTAATATTTACATAGTTAAACTGCAACCCCCAGTGATTTGTGTAAGTACACAGTAATACATTAACATTTTATATATTTAAAATGCCAAAATACAAATGTATAGAATACAGAATAGAAGTCCCTCCCTTTCTGTACTCTTCCTGTTCAATGTCTGCATTATTAAACAGTTTAGGCTTCTTTATAGGGTATTCTGAAGCATTTATAATTAGGTACACAATATAAATATAGTTGCTTTTCAAATGGGGTTATTTTTCAGCAAACTGTTTTTAATTAATGGTATCTTAGAAAAAATCTTTCCATATCAGAAAATGTAGACCTGCCTTAATCTAACCACTACACAAGTGCATATATATTGTGACTGAAATTATTTTCCCATTAATGGGTGTACAAATTATTTTCCAATTTTCACTATTACAAGCAATGTATTTTATAATTTGATTATAAGCAAAGTTAAGTGGAAAAATTCTGAGTAACTTTTGAAGATGATACAATGTATTAACTATTGTTATTCTTTATTGTTACAAAAGGTTGTTTTAATAAAAATCTTTAAAAAATCAAACACTAGCTTATTGATGACATCAATACAAACAAACCCACTCGTCAACCTAATGTGCAAAAAGCAGTTTCGGTATCATTATATTTCTCTTATAGGAATAGGAAATAGTGAGCCCCACCCCCACTCTTTTATTTGAAAATCACGTCATCAAGGTACCTCAAATTCCAACACTTTTAAAAAAACAATCACCCAGAATACCAGATTCTGACACACATAATAGAAGTCAAAAACACTGAAATAATTATTTGACATTTAATGGAATTTATGAAAAAAGCTTAAGCATAATTTACTGATAGAAAAGTTGCAAGAACAATGCAATAAAATCCTATATTCTTTATCAAGATTCACTGTTTAATCACATTATATATATATATATGTGCAATATAATAAATTATCATACATTTTCATTACTGAATCATTTGAGAGTTTCATATATCATGACTTTTCCGCAATAAATACTTGAGTATTTCCCCCAAGAACAAGGACATACTCTTCTAAAATCAATTTATTTTTTAAAATTGGAAATTTAATACTCATAGCCTATTATCCAATATACAGTTCACAAATTTTTCAATTGCTCCAATATTGTTTTTTGATAGTATTTTATGTCTCCAACACCAGCATCATACTTTGTATTTATCTGTCAATATTGATTTTGACTCTTTGAATATGGAATAGTTTCTTCACCCTTCGTCATCCATGACATTGAATACTTTCTGGTTAAGTATAGGTTTACTGTTTCACAGTATGTTTTACAGTTTGGGTTGGTCTCATTGTTTTCTCAAGATTCAGGTAATATATTTTTGGAAGGAATGATGGGTTCTCAAAAGTGTCATGTGAGGTGGCAAATGATGATTTGTTCATTCCTCTTGATGCTAACTTTGATCATTTGAGTAAAGTGGTATATGTCATATTTTCCTACTATAAAAGTATCCTTTTTCCCTATGTAACTTGCAATCCTTAAATTTAAAGACAATGATGTTACTGTTAAGCCTCAAGTACACTTCTGTGCAATTTTTCTTTTCTCAAAGCACTCTCTGATACTGGAGTTGGAAGGTTTGGATGGTGAAGAGACTGTTTTAAACCAATTGTAAATATTCCTTCTGATCCTTCACCTTTAAACAAATTACTCATTTGATAAACGTTACATGTTTTTTAATGATTTTTCTTTTGGTAGGGCAAGTAATCATTGTGATAATAGCAAGCAGGAAGAAGGCAGAGGTCAGGGTCAGGAAACTTGTAACAGAAGTGTTGAGTATGTGGTGGTATAAGCTTTTGAGTAGTATTTGAGATTTTACAGCTATCAGAATGTGGTGTCTTTTATTTCCTAAGAGAATACAGGCTCCATGGGAAAATAGGTGATTGAATGTCTAGAGTGGTAGGTGTGTAAGATGAACATAGAGCAAGTTGTTATATTAGAAAGTAAGGAATTATCAAAGACCATTGATTAGCCACATGTCAAAGAGACCTAGAATTTGAATAACCTCTGCCTGGCCAAAGATAGAACAATTTGGGACTCAAGGATGATTACAATAGATTAAAATATAAATTAGGTTTATTTGTTTTAGAGGTCAAAAATGTTCTTTAATTCACAAATACAAAGTTGTCTTCAGCATGGCTTGATTTCATAGCAAGTTTTAAGAACATTACCTCTTAAATTTTCTTATAAATTTCCTGTCACAAAATATTTTTTTCTTCAATTTTTAAATATGTAAAATCTATTCTTAGTTTGTGGGCCTTACAAAAAAGAGAACAGACCATATTTAGTCCATGGGCTGTCATTTGCTATCCCTGCTCTAAGTCAGTTTCCAATGTTTTTAAAAATTAGACATTTTAATGTTTAAATTTATCAGATCGATGGAATTTTGATGACTTAATACTCTATGAAAATTTTTAAATAATGATTCAAATTACAAAAGAAAATGTAGCTGAAAGAGCAAATGGAAAAAACAACTTTAAATGTTCAAGTTCATAGTGAAAAAAGTCATCTTTAGTAGATGCTAGGAACCAACTGATTTTGAAAACTGGTAACTAAGGGAAAAGAATTAGGCATTTATGCCGCACTTCTTTGTGTATATACACATACATATACATACACAGTATATATACTATAACTCAAAAAAGGATGAAAGAAATTTTTTATATATTCTGGCTTTTAAAAATGAAAGTATGAAGCTAGTCATGGTGACACATCTGTAATCTCAGCACTCTGGGAGGCTGAGGCAGAAGCACTTCAATTGGAGCCTCACCTGGGCTACTCAGTCAGTGATCTAGTAAGACCCTGTTTCAATTTTAGTATATCTGCTGCCGAAGCAAGCACAAGACTGTCTCAAAATAAAAGATAAAAAGGGGCTGAAATGTAGCTCAGTGTGAAGGCCCTGCCTTCAATTCCCAGTACCATAAAACCAAAACCAAACCAAACCAAACCAAATCAAACACACAAAGCACCCAGGAAGGACAAATCACTACTTAACACAACTTTGCCTCCCTTATAGATAATATCTATGACAATATTAAAAAACAGGGAACAGATTTACTTGATGGTCATACAGAACACCACCTATAGAATAGTCTTGTTAAAAAAATAAAAAAGGAAGAAAACATAAAGGTAAACTAAATTTGACTAAGCCTCCTCATCTCACTATCAAAAAAAAATTATTTTTTTTGTACCAGGGATTGAACTTAGGACCTTGTAATTGCGAGGCAGGTAGCACCACTGAGCTAAATCCCCAGCCCCTCTATTAAGTATTAAGAAATACAAGCAACAGAAGAACATGTTAAACAACAAGGAAATGCAATTAGCAAAATCTAAGTAATAAGAAAGTCAACAGAACAAATGGTTCAGTCTCTTCATAAAAAACTGCAGACATACACAGAACCCAAGTGCACATGTGAGAAAAGAGAACATGCAGATTTGACATAAATAAATCAATTTCATTGTGTGGACCCAATGTAAACCCTGACTTAGATAAAATAAAAAACAAATACAATAACCATAATATTCGATAAAGCAAAACAAAATAAAGAAAATGTAGATGTCAATGGGATATGTGATGATATTAAGGAACTAATAACTTTTTAGGTATGATTTTTTTTGCAGTTCTTAGCTTTTAGTCAAGTAAAATACTTGAAGGTAAAATAATATCTAGGGTTAGCTTCAAAATTATCCAGAGGCAGTGTATAGGAAACTAAGTGATGTGTCCATGTGATTCTGGTACTTTGAAACTTCTTACAATAAAAAGTGGAATGAAAAAATGCTTGGTATGTCAACATTTTAGAAAGAGCATTATAATCACTAAATTTTGAGCAAAGGATGAACTAAAATGAAGGGTATAGGGAGTTAGTGACTTCAGACTCTGTCCATGATACAGCCTGAAAAGGAAGAAGAAAATCAACAGTGAATGGGGGAATTACAAGAAAACTTTTTTCTTTGCCCACATTTGCATTATTGGTACACAAAAGAAGGTTGGAGAAGATATATCATCACTACAGTGCTTTCTTAGCCCTAATTTCTGAATTTAGCTTCTCAATCTATTTTAAAGCAATCAGACTTGTTTAGATAGGTAAAACCTTTCTACTTCTTCCTTCCTTCCTCAGCACTCTCAAGCTACTTCCCTTGAGCTGCTGGCTCCAGGTATAGAGACTGGTAGACACTGTTTGTTGTGTGTGTGTGTGTGTGTGTGTGTAGTGGGGGAAAGTGCTGGGGTTTGAGCCCAGTGCCTCACAGATATTAGGCAAGCGCTCTGCCACTGAGCTACATCCCTGACCTGAGACTGAATTTTTGGTCATATTATTATACCATCTAAGCAAATAACACTATCATCAACTGGGGTGTTATCTGACCCACCAAATCATGAAGTTGGGCGTGCACTCCATCATCTAGTGAAAGTAGCATATATGAGTTCACCTTGAGCAGGTCCTAACAGTATAAACAAGTTGTATTAAGTAGCTCTTATTCAGAGTGGCTGAGACTAAGAAAGTACCTTTTCTTCCCACATTGATACTTTCCCTCCCCACACTGAACTCACACCAACAGCCGAGAAAGGGAATTCCCTATTACCAGGTAAGAAGGAAAAAAAATTCAGAATGGTTTGTAGGTGGCTCTGCACTATATAATGCACCATTCAGAGGTGGCTCTGAATAATAGTAGGAAATCGGGAGAATTTTAAGAACTAGCCCTGAAAGAACAGAGAACCAGAGGTGGAGGCTTATAATGATTTTAGATAAGAGTTAAGAGTTTGCCTGGAAGTCAAGGACATTGAAGTCTAATCTTTTTTGTTTTTTGGTACAGGAGATGGAACTCTGGACATTGTGCTTGTGAGGCAGGCAGCAGGACCATGAAGCTAAATCCCCAGCCCTTGAAGTTTAATCTTGATTGTCAACCTGACTGGC